GTCCCCTACGTCTTCCACGTGATAGAGCACTGCACTCAACCGCAGTCAGCGCAATATAAATCCGCCACAAGAGTGGCAGAAAACTCACCCAAGGCAGCAACTTTTCTTCTTTCAAAAGAAATTCTTGATCAGAGGCGTTACCAGCTTCACCCAGAGTTTCACGTAACGATTTGGCTGCTCAAACGTTGCTGAAGAGACTACACCTGAGCAGAGGTAAAGCTGCTCCTGCTCCTACACAGGGAAAGAAACATCATCCCAGTAAATCCTAAGTGTTAAATTGTATGATGGCCGTTAAGAAAAGCAAATTCTCGGATAAATCTGGTCACAGATCCTGCCAAAAGGATGTATCACTTCTCTCACAGCCTGAAGACAAGAGCGTCCTTCCAGGCAGCGCAACTCCCGGCACGAGGGGCTGGTGCAGGACCCAGCCCTCACAGAACCACAGAGCGCCGGGGGTTGGAAGGGACCTCGAAAGATCATCTAGTCCGACCTCCTGCCACTGCACCAGCAACGATCGGTGCGCTCAGTAGCCCCAGCTCAGGATTTGCAACTCAAACTCTACAAAGAGCAAAGGCAGGAGGTTTTGCCTTTTTGAGCCTCACAGTTGTAGGAGAGCTAAGCTTCAGTTTCAGAAAAATCCTCAATCCCTCGCTGTAATTGCCAGAAAAGGAAACCTTACCATAATCCCAAGAGAGCCGCTTACGCGGCTCTTTCTAGACACAGCTCAAGTGCTGTGTTTTCACATGAATATGCAGTTGTGATTTCAACTAAATTACCAGAAACACTTAGGCTCCTCGGTGCAACACTGCTGAAGGAGGAAATGACCCATCATGCTGATAACGCATGCTCGGCTGCACGTGAAAGCAGCTGTCTCATGAAGGGGAGAAGCGGTTTTCTTATCAGAGCCAGACAGGTTTCTAGATTTTGCAGGCAAACAAGGAGCGGGCCACCTCCCGTAAGTCTGTTCATCGTCTTTTTTTTCATTAGCTAAGCTGCCACAAACAACAGAAAATACTCTGCACTGTTTAAATTCGGGGCGGGACAGGGAAGCAGGAACCAAGCACTGGAAAGTAACACCAAAAAGATGAACCAACAACAGAAAGAAGACATTTGCGTGCCAAATCGGCCCAATTTTAGAACCCCTCCATGCTCCAGGAGCTGTAGTGAGCCCTGCGAGGAAGCTTCCGCGCTTGGTCATCTGACACTGTGAGCTCGCCGGATCACTGGAAGCCAGAGTGGCTGAATCGAAGTCCAGCTCATTCAGCAGAGCAGCCAGAGACACCCAGACCTCTCGGATTTCTTCCCAGACCTCATCGCACGCTTTTAAAATGGGACTGAATGTTACCCAGGCAAAGTGACTTCATGGCAGCACACCAGCAATGTATTAAGTCTTCTAAACAAAGACCACAGAGCAGTAAACAAACAGCCCAGCTCAAAATCGTTTTCCAGCAAACGGGAATGCTTGAAAGCCCTTTAAATGAGATCACTGCAGCGCCGTTGGAGAAAATTCCTTTGTCATATTTTCATTGATTCTCCCCTTCCATTAGGAACAAGCAGAGGCAAGATATGAATTGGAATATTGAAGCAACTCTTCCAGTAATAGAATTGCTCTTGATTAGATACACTCTGACTCATCCTCTGGAAGAGCCGTGATGCAATAGGGCAATTCCCATTGATGGGGAGGACAACGGTGCCTGCTCATGCCAGGGCTCGGCTTAGCAGCGTGTTTCTGAGATCTCAAATCACACGCAGAGGCACCAAACCAATTTGCTTTGTATGGGAGCACCACATGAGAAATCACTGGGGACACTGTCAGCTCCAGCAGAGGGATCAGAGTCACGACAGCTGGAGAGCCAGGCAGGGTTCAGAGAAGCAGCAGAAGTGCCGAGCGGGCCACGTCGCCTAATTACAAATCAAACACAAACCCACCCGCAACACTGAACATTAAACTGCTGAAAGTGTCAAGGCTCCACAAGGGCACATCGTTACTTAAAAACACATTATGTCATATAGCTCCTCGGGCAATCCAACCAGCCCAGGAATCCTCCTCTTGTACCCTGTCTCTGCTCACCTCCCTAGCCCGCGGGATTTGCCAAATGCCAGAGAAGCACAATCCTCCAAGGGCCTGACCTCATTATCCTAGAGCATGGCGTGACCGTGGCAGTGCCCAAACATCAGGAATAAGGCCCAAGAACGTGCTGCGTGATGAGCGAGCAGGGCAGAGCCAGCAGCTCCTCTCCAGAGGCCGTCGCTCAGCATCCAGTGCCCGAGCACTCCCCACACTCAAGTTCACTGGGGACACATGTTCTTTCCCGCTACGGTCTCCATTTCCCAGAAACAGGCGCTCGCAGCAGGCATCTCATCAATAGTCACTTAACTGACAGCTCCCTGAGACTCCCTGCGCCCAAGGAGCCTCTGAATTATCGTAGCTGTAGGTTTTATTGCAGCTGCGTCACCAGCGCTCCCTCTGTGACCACCCGTGTTATCTCCCCGCCATCAGCCACTCACCTGGTGCAGCTGCTGCTGCAGGGCTTTATTTTCTGTCACTATCGCAACCTGAGCTTCCAAGTCACGATGAACCGACCGATAGCCGAAATTGGGAGAGCCGATCAGAGTCAGGCAGGGAAGATCGCTTCCTGCCAGGTACAGCCAGAGCCCTGCGGGGAAAACAGGAGAAGAAAGGACGCGTGTCAAAGGAAACAGCCAGGGTTGGCCCATGCACTTGTGTCACGTAGCATGAACTCAGGCGTTGGAGTGCAGCGACTACAAGAAGATCAGGACACAAAGCAAGCCTCCAGATGGACCCACATGCCTCACAAAGCTTCGTGCGAATCGTGGGGTACCCCTGCAGAGCTCACGCTGCCCAACACCACAGGTCCTCACCGGGGGCTGCCGCAAGCTCAGGCATCCTGAACGTGAACACGCTGCAGAGCAGGCCCCCAGAATGAGTCGTTACCATTAAGTTAGAGGTCATTTTGCACCACGGTGTGTCTCAGAAACACGGAAATACGAGAAACAGTTCTTCAGTGAAGGAAAACCTATGTGGAGCGTCAGGCAGACGAGCCAGGCCTGGCACAGTCGGTGCCCGCTGCACGGCCGCAGTGACTAAGTCCTTTCCTGAGACGGCACAAGACAGCGACGTGAAGCAGCATCTCCCTGCTCTGACAGGTGAATTCACGTGAAATAGAAACTCAGAAGAAAAGTGCAAATTGCTTCACCCACTCACTTCCTGGGGAGCCACCTGAAGCTGAAACCAAACTCTCGCCAGGACGCCAGAGTCCTGAGCCCGCTCGTGGTGGCAGTCCCACAGCTGTGCCAGTGCAACGAGAGCAAGCGCGGTACAGCCCACCCAGGCAGCACAGCACGAAAGAACAGCCAGGGACGCCACTGTGGGAAAGCCAGGACCGTTGCCAAGAGAGCCCACCCTGACTGAGTGCAAACGGACCCAAGAAGCATTTCCTCTCCACTCAGCACAGCAGGAGCGACGGGAACAGCCCTGGGCAGGGCCCTGACAGCTTATCCCTACTGCGAGTCACACTGCAAGACTACAACAAAGAAACCCTAGCACAAAAACCACCTAGTCCTTAAAATAGAAGCAGGTTTCCTAATGCA